TCGGTCGTTTCGTTTCGGTTGTTTCGTTTCGGTCGTTTCGTTTCGGTCGTTTCGGTGGTTTCGATGGTTTCGGCCGTTTCGTTTCGGTCGTTTCGTTTCGACGTTTCGCCTTTTAGTACATGCCGCAAACAACACGTGTATCAAAATATGAAAAAGAATTCAATTTATGTGGTGTTTCCACTTTACAAAAACAAAATTATTGATGTGCGAGATTCAGTGCTTCCACTTTGAAAAACCAAAATATCCTTTTTTCTCCTTATATTTTAATAATAATAATAATAATATTTTGAAATATTTTGACCGAAACTTCCTTAAAAGAATTGTGAAATTTCCTTCAAATAATTAAATAAAATTACGTTGAATATTCTCCAAAATATGCTTTTCTCAACATAACAATAATCTGGATGTTCAATTTTATTATGGCTCCAATGTCTAAACACAATTATATGACTTTATGGGGGGGGGGGCACTTAGTGCCCGCCAAAGGCAGGTGAGGGGGTGTGGGTGTGGGGGGTCCAGGGCCATACCCCTGGGGAAAATTTTAATACTAGAGTCTCTGAAATGCCATTTCCTGCACTTTAGAATGAGATTTACGGAGTTCTAAAGGTAACAAAATGTCATAAAATATCTCAAGTTGTTTTGTCTACACACGTAAGGGGCCATTCACAAAGGATGTCCTAGCCAAGGGGGGGGGGGGTTTAAAATCAGGTCAAACTCTTGGGACATAGGGGTAGGTAGGGGTTATAGCAATCCGGATGTCCGAAATTTTAAAAAATTCAAAAACAAATTTCTTTTTCCCTCTATTTTGAGCAGTCCTTCTCATTGTGAAATTGGCATTTTGACTGTGCAGTTAACACCAGATTTTGTTTTACTTAGTAATTTACATGTTTTTGTATTCACATTTATAGTTATAAAAAAGTTCTAAAAGTAAAAAAAGTTTTTTACTCTTGACATATACAAGGTTGTGTACTTGTGTGAGTTTTTGCAAGGCATGGTGGATGTCCGGGGGGTCACTAATTGGGACAATGCCGGACAAGGGGGGAGGGGGGGGTCTGAAAATCCATCATTTGGCCGGACATCCTTTGTGAATGGCCCCTAACTGAAATAATATCATTTAACTTTGTGGTTTATACTGACCATTGTTAAAAAGAGGGGGGTCCAAAGAGATTTAGCCAACCCCCCCCCAACTTATATGATTAAATATATTAAAATTTTATAATTTCTACTTTCAGTTAAATTATGATTACAATTTCTACTTCCAGTTAAATATATTAAATATTACCAATTTTTGCGACATTTTGCTTTTTCCTTCAAATTTCCTTTGTTCTTCTAGAATTTCCTTCACATTTCCCTCAAAATTTATTTCCTTCAAATTTCCTTCATTTTGCAAAAATTTCCTTTCAAAAGAAAATTTCCTTTCAAAAGGAAATTTCCTTCAAAGAGGAAGCGCTGGCGAGATTTCGCAACAGATAGATTAATAAGTTATTAATTATTAATAGATAAACGCAAAAACATGAACGAAAAAGGAATGGAGTCTTTTGAGGAGAGGAAACTGATACATATTTCTCGCAGGGAATTTTTTGCCAAACCAACCAGTGTTTCCTGTTTTATACTTCATTGATGAGGGGCCGACCATTTAACTTTTTTTTTTGGGGGGGGGGGGGTGATTTACTGGTGGAAAGGAATTTTTTCTGGGATCATTATGTGCTTGCAAGATTTTTTTCCTATCCATCACCATATACGATATTTTTGCCACTCTCTTTCGCAGCGGTTTTTTTCAATAGTTTATACTAATTAGATTCTTTGATAATAGAGGGCTCATAATAGTTAACGTTGAGTTTTCTAGCTTCATGCATTGCTTTTAAATTAATTTTTGAGGTATGACATTTGGTTTATTCAATATATCTTTATATTAAGATCCTGTGGGAAGCACAGACAATGAAATACGTTACACTAATAGGCAGACTGCTGACAAGAGCCTGAATATTGGTTTCTCGAATTCGTAGCTGTCTCAATTGAGATATTTATAGAGAGCTTATTAAAGCTTCGCGTAAAAAGTCCGGCAAACGGAAAGGCCGAATTTTCTTGGCATAATTTTCGTTCGATTTCTGCGTGTCATATTTTCTTTCATATGACACAGGAATAGTTAAGCATTCTAGTAACACGTAAAGTAACACGCCTATTTTAGTAAAAATAATAATTCAGATTATTTATGGACTAGTTTTCACTATCCTTTGGAAAAAGTGTGCTTTTATAGTAGACTATGAAATAGCCCTTACACTAGTACCTGAAAATCAAACCAGTTGATCTTCTGGGACTGGTCAAATCGATCCCTGCAGCCATATGCTATTTTGCATCAACATTTTTCCCCACCAAATACTGGGGCAGAACCCCCCCCCCCAGTTTGTTAGTGCAGGTATTTTTTTGTTCATAATAGCCTTGCAGGATATTTTTTTTCAAAATCTTCCCCCCCCCTCAAAAGTTAAATTGTCGTCCCCTTGCAGATACAGATATTGCACAGAACACTCCCTATCAGGGTTTTTCAGTGACTGGTTACAATTACATTAGAACCGGAACTGGCGTGAAGCAGACCGAGGTAGACTGTGAGCGTAATTACAGATGGCGCTTTAAGCAGCCGCTATCAGTCCGTACCTCATTAATGATCTGCCCCTGACCTGCCCCTGACCTGCCCGTTGACTTAACCCCCCACCCTTGTCAACTTTCCGCCCTGTGGTAGGAAACCGGAGTACCCGGAGAGAATCCACGACTTTCGGCAGAGCGTTGACTTTTACTCTTTTCACATGAGGACTGGGTTGGAGTCACATTGAGAAGTTCTCACTGAGATTCGAACCTGCGATCTTAGAGGTGAAAGGCAAGTGCGCTAACCACTTCGCCTTACATGGAGGTTTTCAGACCAGGATGAAATTTCAGCCCGGGGCTCCTATAAATTCAATATATACTAGAAATAGTTTACACTAAAACTGCCCCCAGCTAGTTGACGTTTTTAAAAGACTGCGTTTACTGAAAGTATACTAAAACTGTCTGTACCAGTGTGGGTAGTACCAATGTGAAAATGCTGTGCTGAGTGGTTATATTACTACCTTAAAAAATAAGCAGAAACTCGACGTTTCGAGCGAAGGCCCTTCGTCAAGAGTTAGTAGCGTAGTAGTTAGAGCTACTAACTCTTGACGAAGGGCCTTCGCTCGAAACGTCGAGTTTCTGCTTAGTTTTTAAGGTAGTAATATAACCACTCAGCACAGCAGTTTACTGAAAGTGTGATTCTCTTGGCGATTTTTAGCTATGTTTACACACCGCGATTTTTCCTGCCGATTCAGTGCTATTCGTCATTAACATTCGGTATAAAAAGTGAAATCGGCCCGATTGATCGCTGCATTGTTTTATTTGTTTACTTATACTTTTAGGAAAACATGACAGATGTTAAAAGTTACATCTCCACAGCTTATGGAGAGGAAACTTAGTTGTTCTGAGAAAAAAAACAATGCCACAATTAATATAATTATGAGTTTTCTTAATGTAAATTTTGAGGAATGATGACATTTTAGCTCCCTGTTTAACAACTAATCGGCAATCTGTGTTTGACGTACGATTTTCCAGACTATCAACTTTTCAAAGCACGAGAAGATGAACGTTCCTACAAATAGGCAAGTGCCCACGAGCTAACGGTTAATTACATTTCTAAGTCAAAAGTATATATATTCGCTCTGTTGTGAAACGTACGACCTCGTACGGCTCCCCTCAAAGACCATATTCTGGGACCATTCACGTCAAAGTGCTGTGCCTGTGGATAGCGAGATGTGAAAATCGATGACGCTAACTCGGATCGGAGACTGATGCGATTTTCAGGCAAACACGTTCCCAGCATTTTCCCACGTACAATCGTATGTTCGTACGTCTATTTTCAAGCCCTGGCTTTAATCACGTTTTATAACGTTTCATCTGTTCCTCTACATCTTCCATTGAACCGATTCCATACTTTGCTTTGTCATTTTCCATCAGCTCGAATATTTGTTTCAGTTGTTCTTGTTCTATTCTGAAATGTAAAGATTTCGCGTTCAGGGCTTACTTCAAAGTTCAAACACAAAACTATTAAAGCCTGGTTTTCATATATCCCAATTGCTCAACCAGCTCCATTGTCAAATGTCAATAGTCATTGCCATTGGTGTATTAAACTCTTTAAAATTAATATCAAGATTTTTGTGGCAGCTCACTCGAATGAATACTATTTCATGGGTATTGTAGATGGAAATTTTCGAGTGGAAATTCCGTGGCGAAGTGGTTAACGCACTTGCCTTTCACCCCTAAGGGCGCAGGTTCAGATCTCATCGAGTACTTTCTCAATGCGACTCGAACCCAGTCCTCATGTGAGAAGAGCAAAAATCAACGCTCTGCCGAAAGTCGTGGGTTTACTCCGAGTACTCCGTTTCCTTCCCACAGGGAAAGTTGACAAAATGGGTTAGGTAAAAGGACACACAGTAATAGGCATATGCTGTTGTGGTGAGCCTGCCCCAGTCGACAAAGCCAAAAAAATTAAGCCTAACCAGGAACAAAAGCGAAAAATGCAAATTTAGGTCCCTGACAGGAATTGAACCACTTCGGAGTTAAACCTTGATTGGAGCTTGCTCTGTTGTTTGAACCCTCGTATAACGATGCATGTACGAAACTTATTAAAACTAAAAACTAAACATGTCAATTTCCATCCACAACACACATCAAATATTATTCATTCGAGTGAGATGACACAAAAATCTTGATATTTACCTATAACCTATACCGTGGCAGTACCCTAGTATATATACATAAACTTGTGGTTAGAGCTCGACAACTGCAGGCCTCTAAAGCTCAGTTGCATGGTTAGAGCGCTGCACCGGAATCGCAGGTTCAATTCCTGCCAGGGACGTAAAGTTGCATTTTTTCGCTTCTGTTCCTGGTTAGGTCTAATAAATGTATATAAATTTCCACTCGACAATTTCCATCTACACAATACCATCAAATATTAAATTATTTGTCTATCGAGAAGTATTTTCTTCTTTATTGATCACGGCCAATGGACCATGAGAACATAGCCGAAGAATTGCGATTAAAACCAGGCCATGTTACACTACACCAGGCAATTTCTAATACTTTTTACTTATATAAGTCATTCAAATAAAAAGTATTAATTTAATCACTAGGCTACTGTAGTTAGTTATTTGCAGTTGAGAGCTAAGCTGAATTCAGGGAGCAGGGACAACTGCCTTCCCCCCCCCCCAATCCTCCCGATAAAATTGAACTTTAACTAATTTCATAATGTTATTATAAATTATACAGCCAAAAAGACCGTGTTACAACTTGTGTGCAGTCGTGCAGATCTATAAAAACTTGCGCGTTTTTAGGTGTGTATCCTGTGGGAGAGTGGGTAATGCTATTACTGAGAGACAGAACTAAAAATATTCTCATGGGAGAAAGAGAGATTTTTGCGCCAAAAATTGCTGTAATCCTCGAAAAAACCAGTAACATACATCCCATTGGATTGCGGAAGTCTATTACGGGCCATTTACAGTAATTATTTTTACATAGGGCTGTTCTACGCCCTAGCATGTTTTATCATAGACAATCCAGAAGACAATGTATTCTGGATTGTCATCTGTCCGACCTAAGTGAAACTGAAGTTTAATGTTTCTCCGATCCGTCCGACCGAACTGTAGCTTTGCCCGACGTACCCCAGTCCAGGACTAGAGGCTCGTATGTTAAATGGAGAATCAAAGTAAAGTATAAAAGGTGAACTGGAAATGTTGTTTTAATGTAATTGAGCGCTGGGTGGCAAGCAAAATGGTGAATTGGAAAACGGGTTTAAGTTGTCGAAGTCTTACTGCTGTTATAGGCAAGCAAGTTAATCTTGGCTTGGAAATAAACATGAATGACAGAAATTATTTAATATCTTTACAACATTTACCGTTCGGAACTGTAATACATTGTGTGAATATTAATTTGTGTCATTCAGATATTTCCGAGTCAAACTGAACTGAAGGTCATCGGACATCATCATACAAATGTCAGACGGCCCTGTAAAAGATATTTTAAGGCCTGAAATTTATTGGACATGGGGTGTTTAACAGAGAGGGTTATCTATTACAAAATTTTGGTGTAACTGGGTATCTATTTAGATAGTAGGGTTTTCATATTAGAGAGTGGATGTGTACTAGTCAGATCATTTACAATATCTCTGAGGCCCCTGAGTAACTTCATAATATCAACTTAGGAATCGCCCATGTGTCTGCCCTTATTAGTTATTACCTCCTTTCCACTTCTTTCTCTTCAACATCTTCACATTTCTCCGAAACATTCCGCTCATGATTGACCACCTCAGTGCATGGCTGCATGTTACTGCAGGAACTTGTGCTCAACATGTCAGGATTCAAGTTGGTTTTTATTTCTTCAGTCAATGATTTGTCCTATACATGGTTAGAATAAAAGGCTTGAAATTTGCATCATACCAATATCCATGGGATATACCAGACAAGCTATTGCATTATCCCAAAGCATTATCCCAATATCCATGTGGGATATCACAAGCTCAGTTTCAGGGTTGCATTCACAGCCTACAAATGACAAATCAATTATTTGGTTTCTTGCACTTCACTTGGTGGAATTAATATTCGAATGTTAGGGTTTGTAATCCAAGTGCATGAATATTATATATATATATTTTAAGACCTGACCAGGAACAACTGCGAAAAATGCAGCACAAGGCCCTCTGGTAGGAATTGAACCTATGGAACGACCAGGAAAAATGCAGCACAAGTCCTCTGGTAGGAATTGAACCTAATTTGGATTGACCAGGAACGACTGTGAAAAAAGCAGCACAAGTTCCTCTGGTAAGAATTGAACCAGAAGATTTCGCAGGGCCGTATAATACCAGAGGACCTAAATTTGTGCTGCATAATTCCTGGTTAGGTCTTAAGATGTATATATATTCGCTTGGAATTACAAACCCTAACATCCAAATGACAAATCAGCTTGCGAAAAAGCAGTCTGACTTATAGGTAAAAAAATTAGTGGCCTATAACTTCATGAAAAATCTGGAGGCACATCAAATTACCAGTCTGTTTTAAACACAAAGAATCCCTTGCCAGATAAAATAAATTGGTGGTGAAAGAAAAACAAACTAAGACATACTAAACAGTCCAAAATAACTTTTCATTGCAAAACAAAACCAGGGGAGGTACTAGACCTCTTTGAATGGGGGGTGTAAGTGAATTTTGCCGAGTTATAAAGGGAAATTTTGCCGAGTCACTTAATTAATATTTCCTTTCCCAAAATTGTTGGCGGGGATCCAGACATCATATTTGTGAGCTTATTTTGTGTTTATATAACCACCGTTGTCTGCTCCATTTTCTCCTAATGCTTCATAAATTTTTCTACATTTTAGCAGTAATCATTCTTAATTTTTAATTAATCTGTGTCACTCGAATATTTTAATTTTTTCTTCCTATCCAAATTCATATTTTGCCAACTACAAATTAAAACAATTTGCCGACTGGCTTCAATATTTTTCTGACTACCTGATGACTGCTGGGGGTGTACGTTTCACACCCCCCTTTAGTGCTGACCCTGAATAAATAAATGGATAACCGGAATTTATTTTTTGTTTGTTTGGTATCCGGTCGTTTTGCCCCCACGTCGATCGATCGATTCACCCCAAGTTGTAATTCTCTCCCAAAGTTATTCGATATCAAAGTCGTTTCCCCCCAAGTCATTAGATGTGAAAGTTGTTTTGCCCCCCAAAAACTTATCCAATAAAGCAATAAACATTTTTTGCAAAATATATAAAAATGCATGCAAGAACAACAGGGCTTGAAATAGCGTTCCCAAAGTTCCCGATCATGGTGCTCAGCAGTCATGATTTTCCCTGCTTTCTCAGGTTGGAATTTGGAAACCCTGCTTTTCTGCCGATCATAAGCAAATTTCTTGCCAATCATTGATTGGTGATCGGGCGCGAATTGACTTGGGGGCTAAACGACTTGTATTTGTTTGTTTTATTTGTTAGTATCATAGAATGAATAATGAAACAATAATTGGAATGGGCTTTCGCAGAATATCCAGAATTCTTCATTCAATGCATACCTATAGCCTGTGTCCCAGCTAGTCCACTTCACCATAGTGAAGTGGACTGGGACACAGGCTAATGCACACCTGGCTCTCGGTCAATGCTATCCGCCTCAGACCTATGGCTATGACATTGAACTTGGTCTAAATGATTCTGGATATGCTGAACATCAACCTCGTCCAATAATTATTAAATATTTTATCAAATGTACTACAAAATATGTATAAACCTCTTCCAGTATGGCCCTGTCTTGTTTTTCGCGCCATTGCATCCAAAACCACATAAGGAAGATTGATAAAAATGCCATAGACACTGGAAGCCATAAATAGTACATATTTTCATAGCCTTAGGATTGAATGATCGAATATGGGATCAAAACAATTTGATCAAAACAAAACAAAAACAAACCATATTATTATAGTTACATGAAGTATGCGAGAACTTGAACTTGTCACAGCGTTTCCACTTTGATGGAAATTTCCATATTTCAAATATTTCATGGAAATTTTGATGTAAAGAAAAGTAAAGAAAACAATTTCATGGAAATTTTGTGGGTCAATTTATGGAAATTTCTGCTTTCCCAGAATCTTTCTCTAAACAGCTGGGAAATTTGTTGTCGCTGTGCAGAGAAATTGCTGGCGCACGCGATATTTTACAAAAATTCGAAAATTTGAAAAAACAACACGAGTGAAAATTCAACTGATGATTTTGCATTTTTAAGACGGCAATCAAGGAAATTAAATTGTTGGAAAAACTTCACTAACATCTCAAGTATGGAAAGCATCTACATTACCAGAAATTTAGTTGTGCATTGATTCAAAATTCAGGCGCTAAAGTTACATAGCTAGGAGTTGGCTTTTGTGCTCTTCGAATATCAATTTTCATTCGCGGATTACCATAACTTGTTGGCCTCATGGGTGCCAAAATCGACATAAACGTAAACTGCTAACCAAGAGCTATAAAACAAATAGCTTTTCAAAAAGATAAACTTTATTCAGTCAAAAGGATGAGGGTAAATAACATGCTACTGCGTGATAGTGATTTCGAAGCAACTTTGTCACATATATTTTAAAAAGTGTGATAATGAATCAAATTTTGCTTTTTGCAATCCCAAAAAGGTATGAAAATTATTTAAATATTTAAGGTTTCCGTGTTTCTAACGTATTTTTTTAAGAAAAGTAAAAATTTTCCAGATAAAAAAGCATAGTTTCTGCAGAAAACTGTTTTCTGATAGAGAAGGTCCTGGGGGAGGGGGTGTAGAAGCGTGGGCGGATAGCAAAAAACCTTGACGTTTCCTCCAAAAAATTAATACCAAATTTTGTTTTGCCTTTGTTTGATATGTAATTTAGACAAGTTTTTTTACATCTAAAAATTGCCCCTAGTGGTCAAAACATGGATTATGTTCGCAGTATTGGCCATTTGTTTACTTTTGGGGAACAAAGTTTGAGGTCCAATTATTTGTAAAGTTTGCAAACTACCCAGCTAATTCTTGGCCGTTGTTTGCAGCCTTGTATGCTGATTAAAATTTAGTTTAGTCCACAATAGTAGATCCTTTCAATGAAGGGAAATTCAAAATAGCATATTTGATTACTTTTACAGCACAGTCATTACATAGGTAGGGTACAATACCAGGCCAAATTGCAAAAAAATTTACCGATTCCTCCAAATTTAAAATCATATTTTTTTGCTCCCAAGGCACATAGGAAACATAATTTAACAATGAATTTTGTTGGAAAATTGCCCCTTTGCGTCTAATTTCGCTTTGAAATGCGTGCGTTTACTGCTCTTGTATGAAGCAAAAGTTCGAAAACATTCGAAGTACTGGTAAAATGTAATGAAATCGACAACTTGACCTTGCCCTTGAGACCTTGTACTGCCTCAGCACTGAAATGTTTTTTGACAACGATAATTTACCAGTGTTTCTTGGATATTTTCCTTGTTTAACTAGTAGAACCGAACATACAAGTGCATTAGAAGACTAAGCGAGAGTTTTGTGTAGAAATGCTCTGTTTACGGGAAGTTATTTTGCATTCGCAAGCGTCAACAAAAGCCGGCATTTTCACAGTTTCATGTTTGATTATCATAGCGATAGATAAAAGCTTTGAAAGTTCAATTGAAAACATTTTAAACCACCCGTATTTGTATAGTATATATGTTAGTTGTATTAACATTGAACTTCTTTCTGTTTGAACCCAAATTTGTACTTGTTTTGCGTTTGACAAGGCGGTCAAGCTCGCGACGATTGGCTTTTATACCTCAGGCATGACTGCAGATTTAGCGTGTCAAATGTCTTCTTGTTTGTGTCAAGATTATAATATTCTATTGTTGTTCAAACGAGATATTCTATACACTGGAAACGTAGAGTACATTTTACTTTGTCGTTGTCTTTGTCTCAAGCAAAACACTATAAAGATTAAACAGGCATTCAAAAATATGCAACAACACGAACATCTCGTAATATTTCTTCGGGGAAATTTCAAAGGAAATCTGGCGCATGCGCAA